AGAAAATCCAAAATAGGGTGCTTTTCCCAGGACGAAAAGGGGCAGCTTGTTTGCGTTGAATTGCAAAAAAAAAACAAAAAAAACTTGGAACTCTGTCATTTCTTTCCCTTTTAATCATGCCGTGTTTTTATGTCATATTTTCATTCATGATTTGAACACTTGATCGCATGCATGTAGTTTTCATACAAAATTGTTTAGCCGAAAGTCTTGAACGTGATTTCCTGGCTGTTCATAGGTAATTCTAATCCCGGCGGGTAAGTTGTGATTATCGAGCAGTTCCCATGGAAACAGACCACTTAGTGGCATCTCAAAGGCAACGTCAGTGAAATACTCAAAAGTGTGGTTGTCTCTCTTCATCTGCCAATCTGTCCAGAGTTTATCTATAAAGCTATGATGGATCCAAAACTCAGGAGTGAAAGAAGCAGTTTGGTGTTTTAGCATGTGGCCACCGACACAATCATGAAAAGTCGGATGAATTGTATTGCGAATAAAGATTTCAAAAGCGGTGAAATTTTCATCGTTTATCATCTTCTGTACCGTTGCTTTACTTGGAAGAGGGCATGAAAGATTGAAATTTCTTTGCAAACATCCTTCCCCATTCGTTTCAGGTATGACAAAAATTCTTTCCTTAAAAGGCCCATTTCTGACGCAGCCATTAGGCATATCTCCGTCGCCTCCTAGACCGTGAAGGCCTGGATTCCAAATATCGCCTATCTCAGTCGCTCTGGCCCAATGCTTTGCATCCTTGCTCCAGTCCCAGTAAGGAATTGTCACTCGACAGTCAATTTGACGAAGAAAATTTTCAAATTCCAGCAAATACCATCTGTGCCAAGGGAGAAATATCTGAGGCATGTGATGAAGAAGTTTGGTGGGCATCTTTGAATGAATTTTGCATATTCTTCTATATTCGTCTCTGTAAATAGGGTTTGTTGCACCAGTTCTCATCGCTTTCACAAATCGTCGTCGTTCTTCAAAATTCATGTGTGTGAATTCTTTTCTGACCCGATGGCAGAACAAAAGTTCTCCATCGTAGCACATACAATGTCGCTCACATTCATCGTAATAATCTTTGGTGTCATTGCAGTACATCGGGTCCCCTGCAAAGTTCATTTAAGTGATAAGAACAACTGACCTGATATGTAATGGCCATGTGTCCTGTATTTACTAGTTAAGGGGAGTGAAAGTTTCTGTAAAGAAAACTGGATAAAGCAAGGTGGCTAAAAGTCACAGTTGTATAACCGTTGAGAAGGGACCATTTACTCCTGTAACGGATCAAGGAGGCTGCACCCAGCTGATAAGGAGTACCCTTATCAGTCTGGGGGATGTAGAGCAGCTTTCAATTGAGTGTTGTAGAACCAAACGCAAGTAATCACTCTAAAAAATCACGACGAAAATAGACATCCTAGTGACCCGACCAAACTCGAACTATATGCATCCTTCTGATCCGAAGTGCGGGAAAACGTGCGTGAGCAGACTCGATTTGTTTTGGTTTTACGTCTGATTGGATGAAAAAGTGGCGCGTGATTTTTAAACCAATCGTGTAGCCTAGTAATGGAAAACCAAGTACGTTTGACACTCAAGTGAAGACCGCTCTAAAAGGGTGGGGAATTAGTCGAAGTCTAAGTATAGAAAAGGTAGGAAAGGCTGTTATTTTGGAAGTCGAACAGGGCGCGCCATTCAAACTTTCTTGCAAACTTTTATTCCGAGGGTATAGAAGGGGGATGCAGGGTTTCTATTGAAGGTATGTAAAAAGATTTCGCCAGGACCGATCCGATTTTATTCATTTGAGTATTCAAATACTTTACTATAGACTCGCAGCTGTTGTTTAGGTCCTAACTCAAAGCTTCTCTCCGCTACGTAACGCCTTTAAAGGAAAAAAGTACTTTACCTGTTACGTATCTCTTTAATTCATTGTATTTCAGTCCCACACACAAGCTGCTTTTTTCTATTAAACTTGCCGTGACTAACAACAGAGAACGAAACGATGCAAGCAGGTCCCCAGGACAACAAGGAACTGACAAACAGTTGATAACCTCCTGAAATTAGGGAAAAAAGAAAACAAAAGGAAGTACGATTCGTTTTTGATCCGTGTGACAAATATTTCGACTAGCTAGAAAACAAAGTAAAAGAAAGCTTCACTTTCTTTCCATCATTACCTGGAACTCACTGCACCTTTCAGAGTTCCACCTCTTTTCTTCGAGATCTTGAAATATGTCTCTCAAATGAGCCGTACAATGCTTGATTGCCATCTTCTGACAAAACTCGTTGTTTTCAAAGGCTTTTGCCTGTGAGATTACAATAAAAACAATTATAAGCTGCTTATACTTAGAGACCATGATGAAGTTCACTCAGGTGCTGAACGTACGGAAGGCCATATAAATGTACGCGATACTGCGAGGAAATAAATTTCAGTTTCTTTTAATTGCCTCGATTAATGATGATCAAGATGAACGATTATTAATTACAGAAAAATTCACGAAATAAATGTTAAACATACTGACAGGTTTTCTTCCTAGATGTTAATTATTTCATGATCGTGTTAGTAATTTTTCCTGTTTCAGTAATTAACGACGGATGGCTGGTAGTACAGACCTGAATGTTTATGACAGGGAAACAAAGCTTTAAGATACGTTATTGTCAAAGACCTAGAGGGTGTAAAGAAGAATAGGATTTCTTTAATGGCAAATTGAAATTTAAGAATACTCGAAACTGTGTTACCCAGTGACAATCGGTTTTGTTTAGTTTCCTGTCCTGATCTATGCAAAAACATACACTATTTTACTACTCTTTTTTAATTTATCAAAATTATTTTGCTGCTTGCTCTCGCTACCTATTATTGGAACAAAATAACTTTCCATCTAAAATAAACTGAGGGTCTGAGACATTTATGAAGAAATTAAAGACATACATAAGTTTTGTCTCAGTTACTACAGTGTATTTGTGTCTAAGATAATTTCGAGTCTCAACACATTATTACAATCAATTTCTTATATTTCTGTTCTGGTGAGGTGACACTTTTTTTGTAGGAACAAAGATATTTTATATCTATTTGACTGATTAAATAATTCTGTTGTTGGCGTGCGTTATCTTTGTTTCAGTTTGTCTGTCAATAATAAGCGTGGTGTTCTTTTCTTTTGTTGTGCTGAATTAGCGTGGGGGCTCTCTTCTTTTGAATGTTGTGAACACTGATTTGCAATTAATTACGAAGGAAACCAATTGACAGTTATTCCGGTTAGTTATTGGAGAAGGAAACTCTGGTTAAGGGAGTTTCAAGGTTTAGCGGATATGTATGTGCAAACGGTAGTGAGCATGCATGAAGTACCTCTTTAGCTTTGTAGTAGAGCTAATGTAGTTCATTCAAGAAAGGACTACATTTTGCCCAAACACAATGACTGATGCCCACATTTCATGGAAGCTGATTCACACAGAAAATGTCGAATTTACTATTAACCATCGAATTTATTATTCGGGCTGAAGGATAGGGTATTCTTGGTACCCCCACGAGTTGTCTAACGCGATCCAGCTAGCTCACAAACAATGAAAGAGGGTATAGTAAAGCATGGGAATCAGAACATGCAAAAGTGATTCTGATGGGAAATATCACCTCCATCGCTACGTTTTCACGACTAACCGATAAATTTAAATTTCTCCGAAGAGTCATCGGTTCGCTTTCGATTGTTTCATAAGACAAAAGAATGAAATGAGTTGATGTGATTGTGATGTTGATGTTTAACTTGCTCAGTTTTTTTTTTTTTTTCTTTGGACGGGAGGTAGGATAGAGGGGGGAATTTTCGAGAATGGTGGAGAGGTTTGGAGAAGCGAATTAAGCCTCTAACCCCCTTATTTCCTATTCAGAAACGCTTATGTAAATAATCATGGCGTGTAAATTATGACGTCATTGCTTGGAAATGGGGCATGTGCCAGAAGGTCACCACATCTGATTTTAAATAAACTGAATATGAGGAAATTGAAGGTTACATCCCGCTCAACGAAATACGGTCCTGAAATGTCTGAAATACAGGAATTTCACTTTGTTTTCACGACTTCATGATTCAAGCTACAAGGCGGGCCTATTTCGTTATCGGTCTGCTTCAATTCGAAGCAAGTGCAAAATTTTATCAGTCCTCTTCTGCTCGCTCATCCAAAGCTATAAACGTTATACAATATTCGTATCTGAGTATTTATTAAAAGTAGCAGGTCATCAGCCATGCTCCATATAAATTCAAATTTTGACCAAATTATGGGAATGACTTAAGCAACGGTTCATCTTGCTAAAGCAACAATTTAAGACATACTTCTATTGGTTCCATCTGTGAAAAGCTTAGCTACAATATATCGACTGTTCTTTTTCACTGACAAGCATATAGGATTCAAACTATCTCTACTGATATGTTGACTGTTGACTGCACGTGGCTATCCCAGGAAGCTTGATGAACATGGGATTAGACGAATCTGGTGGAAATCTTGCACTCGCTCGTCCGTATCCTCATCATGGTCATCAAACAACACACGGTATACAGCTTTCTGGTAACAGCTAGAGCTGCAGAAATTCCTTTTGTACACTACATCACCTGGGTAGAATCTGGTTTTTCCTGGCAAGAAACCAATTACACGCTGACCAGCCTGGACGTCTTTGTAGCAGGGAAGTTTGTCGAGTATTACCGCCGCTGCGTCCTTCTTCTGTAGAGTGATGGTTTTGCCATCGTCATAGTTGATGAACACAGCTGTCGAAGAGGCCCTTGTGACAAATCCCCGATAATAAAGACCATTTGTCCAGCGTGCAAACACTCTGGCGCCCACTGCGGGAATGAACAAAAAGAGAATATTAACCGACGATGAAAAATGCAAAAGTAATTAATGCCTAGCAAAATATTTTGTTGTTTTATTTGGTATTTATCCTTAAAAAAGAGATTTTGCGTGGAGTAGTACTTAAAATGTAGAAGATATACGTCATGCCTTTTGTTTTGAAAGCCTGAGTAACAACAGTTGACTTTTGAGGGGGAGTTGGAAAAAATATCCTACTAACACACCTGTACCAATAAAAAATTCATGCACACAACCACTGCCGAAAAAACAAACATTCATCCTCTTTAGTGAGCTAAAAAAAGCATGCTACAGAGGGGAAAAAGTGTCATGCATACATATGTGCTGATAAAAAAACATTTCCTGGTGCATGAAAGGGTTCGAAATAATTCACGCCTTTACCATATCACCCGCACCCTTCCTCAAATGAAGAATGGTCCTCCACTGAATACAATTTGGCAACTAGTCCCGGTTATGGTAATATCCCATGCAGTCAAACTGCAGCATTTATGATGCAAGGGAAGTAGATAGGATTGCTGTTAATGACGTTTAGCTCGCGGAGAGGGATGACTCTCTTACTAACCTTCATGAGCAGAGAAATGATCCAGGACTATTCTTAACTGGCTGGTGGTGTAAAAATCCTCGTTGTTGTCATCAAAGGTAACCTTGAAGCGGTTGTTAGAATCCTTGTCAGATACATAACCAATGTAGTATATGTGGCCTCCTTTCCAAGTCGTCACGACGTGGTCACCGATGTCCACTTGATGGGGCACTGTATCAGCAATTACAGCTGAAATATCGGTGTCTCTGTGGGTGATCGTGTTACCGTCGTCAAACAAAATGCGTATCAACCCATTTCCAATTGATGACACTCTGCCAGCGTAATAAAGATTATTCGTCCAACGGGCTATGATTCGATCATTAACTGTAAGAACAATAATAAAGACGTAAAACAGATGGACTGCGTCAACCCTCGTTCTCCTAGCTTTTTATGGAAACGAGGGTTGGGACTACATCCTTTGCCCAAGGATCCCATGCAGGGAAGAGCAGTGGAAACGGAGGGCGTTATGGACATTACTGAGTGGCTACTTGTGCCTCTAGATGTTTGGACCCCGTGTTTTGGAAGGAAAGGGAATTTTTCCATCCAATCTGCCGTTATTATACTTTTTTGTCTTCAGTGTATATATATTCTTCATCTGTTAACCCGTGATTATCGCGAGAAATATTAACCCACATGCTGGTCAATGATACAAATGTTCATTTTTTTTCTGGTTACAGGGAAATTCAGCATGATGAAATAATGAGAAGGGTAAACGGTTAATCTATAATAATAGACCGAGGACAATTTTTAAAGGAATAAGGGAATCACTCCTTTGTTATCACAATAATGCGATAACAAGTGTGGTCATGCAAATCACTGTTGTAAGTTCAGATGTACTGGGTAGTTCTAAAAGCTGATTTTCACCAGCGCATAAGTTTCAGCACAAGTATAAACAACGTTCGCAGACGCAATAAAACCTTTGTAATTACCTTGAAAATTAGGATACAAGATGTGTTGCCACGGATACGGCTGATAAAATGTTAGTAGCGCTGAGCTTTGTCCAGTTAGGATAACAAAGAGGCAAATAACGGTTGTAGGAGATGCACCAAACCGTGACATTTTCAAGCTTCGATTACTACGTTGCGACCCTAAAACTCAGGTGGGTTTGAAATTACTATGACGGCAAGGTTACTTATATTATAGCGAGCTTAACGTCCGTGTGACTGCCGCATTTCTGGTACATTGACCCTTGAACTTGTATCAGCTGACGAGGAAGAACGTTTGAATTGCTGTTAGCCTCTTTATTCCTGTCGATCGAAAGATAAGTAGCTTAACGATCATGAGTACCTGCGATTCTAAAATAACTCCAACTTTGATCGCTTCTTAGTTTTTGACTTTCGTTTCTGTTATCAGCAGTTTGACTCTCTTTCATCAAATTAATACTTATAATGGAGGGATCTCTCGATGCAGGCACGTGAACTATGCAATGAAAACTAATTGAAAAAAAAAAAGTTAGTGTTTTCCTGTATGAAACTCTGGTTTTGCAATGACCGATATTTCATGTTTCCACCATTATTATGACAAGGGGTCAACGTGGAGCAAAAAATTGGCGGAACAAATATTTCTGTTTAACAATGTAGTTTGAGCTCATTGTGAAACTTGAATCTCGAGACTCTAAAACAACATATTAGGAACACAGGCAATATATACTGTCTTCATTCTGATCGTAATACTTAGGTGGTATGGCTGTTCTATTTCCACCGTAAGGCTTGACAATTTGTTTGCAACCTTGACCTCGTATCAGCCCAGAGGGAAGCGCTTTGTTACAAGGTTCGTTGGACTTGCTGCTATCTTCTTCATTCCTAACAAAGCTTTAAATCTCAAGGCACTAAAACAACATTTTATGAACACATGCAATATATACTGTCTTCATTGTTATCTTAATACTTCGGTGGTATGGCTGTTCTATGTTCACCATAAGGCTTCACAATTTGTTTGCAACCTTGACCTCGTTTCAGCCGAGGAGGAAGCGCATTGTTACAAGGCTCGTATGACTTGTTGTTAACTTCTTCATTCCTTACAAAGCTTAATTATTTCGTCTTCCTTCTAATGTGTTGTGTTAGCTCCACTTTGACCCCCTTTCATCAATAATAGAGATCTCGATCACTAAACTTGTACTTACCTGAAAGAGGGTGAAAAGAGGATGGTATTAGAAGATAGAGGACAGAAATGGGGTTCAAATGAAATTTCAAATTTCCGTAATTGTTGATATCTGAGTTGTGCTGAGGAAAGCTGTATGAAAATGTTGGCACCATTTGTAATTGGTGCGTGTCTTTAAAAATAAGCCCTCTGGCTCTTCAAAGAGGTCTTGAGGAACAAACTGCGATGATGTGCGGCACATTTAACTTGTGTGAACAATGAGGAAATTAAAACAGCAGAAAATCTCAGGCTCTTAGGTGTTACAAAAGATATCAATTGTAACTTCAGTGATCACATAAGCTCAATTTGTAAGAAGGCGGATTAAAGGATCGGCGTTCTCATAAGACTCAGACACTTAATTCCAACTAAGGCTAAACTAGTACTATTTAAATTAGTACTCACACCGTACCTTACGTACATTTACTGCTATTTAGTTGGACAGGCAGTTGGACATTTTTGTTGATCTAGTGACGCGCGAGAACAAGAAAGACTTCAAGAAAGAGGACTGAGAGTGGTGAGCAGAGACAAGCATGTTATTCAAATTTACTTAAGAAGGTCGTGTTGCCAACGCTGATGAAAGCACTTGCCGGATTTTTGCATCCTCTGCTCTTCCCATCACAAGGAATCCGCCAGAAGTTCGAGTAGCAAGTGGACAAAAACCAAGATTATTTGCATTGTATTGCAAACTTTTCTGCGACTGTTTCAAATATCTTCTCAAAAGAAATTATTTTTAACAGCGCCAATGTCGAAAACAAAGTTTGAAGTTCCTATGAAACACTTGAAAGTACTGTTGAAAGGAAACTGATGATGAAATTTTACCTGTGTTTGCGCAATTTCTCTGAACTTCGAAATTTATTTCCTCGAGTTCCCATGGGAATTTGTTTTTGGTGTATTTTCAGGTAACTGTTTATATCTGAGGCTTTTTGAAAATGCAAAAAGGACTGAAATATACTGAACATTATTCTGCTACAAGGTTTTTGTCCACTTAAAACTGAAATTGCTCGATTTCCTATCGGATTTCCTCTTAAATATATTTGTTTTATTATATAAAAACCAAAGATATATCTGGCGAGCTACCAAAAGTAAATTAGCGCCCGGTCGCTAAATTGAATCATTACGGTATTAGCGCGCGGTAGATTTTCCATGTACTTCCACGTATCATCAATCGTTTCGTCAAATAACTTGATGTATCTATAGCAACGTTTTTTTAAAACTTGTTTTTAAAGGGTGTTTAAACAAAATTCGGTTGACTTTTTAAGCGTAATTTTCTGAGATTTTGTTTTATGTGGTTTCATGAAGTGTACGATAACACATATTACAATTGCAACCGTAATATGTGTTTTCGAATTAGTTTTGGGAATTTTCTGACATCCAAGTTTTCAGGTATGACGAATGTATGACGTTCGATTGGCGCAAAATAAAAATTTTTGAATGTTTCCCATCTAAGAAAGACATAATACCGTATAGGACATAACGTGCATTTCGCATGAGAGGTAAGCGATCGATCGCAAAGTTTTTGAGCGTTACACTTTAGCGTGTCATCGGGTTGCATTACAGTTCAGTGAACGTATCTACTTGTAGCTGGTGTTTGTTACCATAATAAACACCAGCTACAAGTAGATACGTTCACTGAACTGTAATTCAACCCGATGACACGCTAACAGACCAATAAACTTTGATTAGTTTCAGATTTATAAGCCAAACATTGGACACAAAAATAAAGCATCGTCTTACTTGACGTGTTTTTAAGACTATTTTATTAAACAAAAGAAAGAACATTAACCGATAGATTCAAAGTTTTATTTTTTTTACTATCTATTTGCAATTGCCTAAATTTTCCTACCCCTGTAGTTTACAGAATACTAATCTCCGTATGGAGCCTTGATCAGCTTTAAGCACAACAAGAGACCACTCGGCCCTAATGTATATTCGTCTCAAAGACCACAAATCAAAAGTTTAAAAGAGTTTCACCCTGAGACTGAGGAAGAAAGCTTTAAGCTAAAAACTTTGGCTCACTACCAGCTTCTATCGTTTCAGCTTGTGTTCGCTTTATATGGGAGCTCGGTCGTTCTAATTAAGATCTCTGTTTGGAATTTTCGAGTTGGTCGTTTTGCGGCGAATTAAGCTTCGTCTGTAATAGAAAAATAGGTAGGGCAGAAATAGAAGCTTAGAAAATCTGAGCCCAAAGATATCTTTATTCAACTTCGTTCTACCGCTTTACACGCAGGCCTATACCAAACGCCGTGCTACCGCCGTGCCGAACTCAAATAAATTTGGCCTGGCGAAGGCATGAAAAAAGAACAGCAGTGCGTTTCAATTCAGTCACACCGAAGATTGGAGGAAGTTTGCTTTACTGAAGACCACTTTAAAGCAACGACAGCTGATGCAGCAGGCTATGAATTCAGTTAGGCACAGCAAGAGCACGCCGTTTGAAGCCAAGTCACGCTCAGACTTGCGTGCGGCTCGGCAAGGCCTGCCATGCCGTGCTAAGTACCGTAAATCCTCGAATTAGCGCCCCCTCGAGTAGGCGCCCCCTTCGAATAAGCGCCCCTCCCATCGGCCGAAATTTAAAATAAGCGCCCCCCCCCCNCAGTTTTTTTTTTTTTTTCTTTGGACGGGAGGTAGGATAGAGGGGGGAATTTTCGAGAATGGTGGAGAGGTTTGGAGAAGCGAATTAAGCCTCTAACCCCCTTATTTCCTATTCAGAAACGCTTATGTAAATAATCATGGCGTGTAAATTATGACGTCATTGCTTGGAAATGGGGCATGTGCCAGAAGGTCACCACATCTGATTTTAAATAAACTGAATATGAGGAAATTGAAGGTTACATCCCGCTCAACGAAATACGGTCCTGAAATGTCTGAAATACAGGAATTTCACTTTGTTTTCACGACTTCATGATTCAAGCTACAAGGCGGGCCTATTTCGTTATCGGTCTGCTTCAATTCGAAGCAAGTGCAAAATTTTATCAGTCCTCTTCTGCTCGCTCATCCAAAGCTATAAACGTTATACAATATTCGTATCTGAGTATTTATTAAAAGTAGCAGGTCATCAGCCATGCTCCATATAAATTCAAATTTTGACCAAATTATGGGAATGACTTAAGCAACGGTTCATCTTGCTAAAGCAACAATTTAAGACATACTTCTATTGGTTCCATCTGTGAAAAGCTTAGCTACAATATATCGACTGTTCTTTTTCACTGACAAGCATATAGGATTCAAACTATCTCTACTGATATGTTGACTGTTGACTGCACGTGGCTATCCCAGGAAGCTTGATGAACATGGGATTAGACGAATCTGGTGGAAATCTTGCACTCGCTCGTCCGTATCCTCATCATGGTCATCAAACAACACACGGTATACAGCTTTCTGGTAACAGCTAGAGCTGCAGAAATTCCTTTTGTACACTACATCACCTGGGTAGAATCTGGTTTTTCCTGGCAAGAAACCAATTACACGCTGACCAGCCTGGACGTCTTTGTAGCAGGGAAGTTTGTCGAGTATTACCGCCGCTGCGTCCTTCTTCTGTAGAGTGATGGTTTTGCCATCGTCATAGTTGATGAACACAGCTGTCGAAGAGGCCCTTGTGACAAATCCCCGATAATAAAGACCATTTGTCCAGCGTGCAAACACTCTGGCGCCCACTGCGGGAATGAACAAAAAGAGAATATTAACCGACGATGAAAAATGCAAAAGTAATTAATGCCTAGCAAAATATTTTGTTGTTTTATTTGGTATTTATCCTTAAAAAAGAGATTTTGCGTGGAGTAGTACTTAAAATGTAGAAGATATACGTCATGCCTTTTGTTTTGAAAGCCTGAGTAACAACAGTTGACTTTTGAGGGGGAGTTGGAAAAAATATCCTACTAACACACCTGTACCAATAAAAAATTCATGCACACAACCACTGCCGAAAAAACAAACATTCATCCTCTTTAGTGAGCTAAAAAAAGCATGCTACAGAGGGGAAAAAGTGTCATGCATACATATGTGCTGATAAAAAAACATTTCCTGGTGCATGAAAGGGTTCGAAATAATTCACGCCTTTACCATATCACCCGCACCCTTCCTCAAATGAAGAATGGTCCTCCACTGAATACAATTTGGCAACTAGTCCCGGTTATGGTAATATCCCATGCAGTCAAACTGCAGCATTTATGATGCAAGGGAAGTAGATAGGATTGCTGTTAATGACGTTTAGCTCGCGGAGAGGGATGACTCTCTTACTAACCTTCATGAGCAGAGAAATGATCCAGGACTATTCTTAACTGGCTGGTGGTGTAAAAATCCTCGTTGTTGTCATCAAAGGTAACCTTGAAGCGGTTGTTAGAATCCTTGTCAGATACATAACCAATGTAGTATATGTGGCCTCCTTTCCAAGTCGTCACGACGTGGTCACCGATGTCCACTTGATGGGGCACTGTATCAGCAATTACAGCTGAAATATCGGTGTCTCTGTGGGTGATCGTGTTACCGTCGTCAAACAAAATGCGTATCAACCCATTTCCAATTGATGACACTCTGCCAGCGTAATAAAGATTATTCGTCCAACGGGCTATGATTCGATCATTAACTGTAAGAACAATAATAAAGACGTAAAACAGATGGACTGCGTCAACCCTCGTTCTCCTAGCTTTTTATGGAAACGAGGGTTGGGACTACATCCTTTGCCCAAGGATCCCATGCAGGGAAGAGCAGTGGAAACGGAGGGCGTTATGGACATTACTGAGTGGCTACTTGTGCCTCTAGATGTTTGGACCCCGTGTTTTGGAAGGAAAGGGAATTTTTCCATCCAATCTGCCGTTATTATACTTTTTTGTCTTCAGTGTATATATATTCTTCATCTGTTAACCCGTGATTATCGCGAGAAATATTAACCCACATGCTGGTCAATGATACAAATGTTCATTTTTTTTCTGGTTACAGGGAAATTCAGCATGATGAAATAATGAGAAGGGTAAACGGTTAATCTATAATAATAGACCGAGGACAATTTTTAAAGGAATAAGGGAATCACTCCTTTGTTATCACAATAATGCGATAACAAGTGTGGTCATGCAAATCACTGTTGTAAGTTCAGATGTACTGGGTAGTTCTAAAAGCTGATTTTCACCAGCGCATAAGTTTCAGCACAAGTATAAACAACGTTCGCAGACGCAATAAAACCTTTGTAATTACCTTGAAAATTAGGATACAAGATGTGTTGCCACGGATACGGCTGATAAAATGTTAGTAGCGCTGAGCTTTGTCCAGTTAGGATAACAAAGAGGCAAATAACGGTTGTAGGAGATGCACCAAACCGTGACATTTTCAAGCTTCGATTACTACGTTGCGACCCTAAAACTCAGGTGGGTTTGAAATTACTATGACGGCAAGGTTACTTATATTATAGCGAGCTTAACGTCCGTGTGACTGCCGCATTTCTGGTACATTGACCCTTGAACTTGTATCAGCTGACGAGGAAGAACGTTTGAATTGCTGTTAGCCTCTTTATTCCTGTCGATCGAAAGATAAGTAGCTTAACGATCATGAGTACCTGCGATTCTAAAATAACTCCAACTTTGATCGCTTCTTAGTTTTTGACTTTCGTTTCTGTTATCAGCAGTTTGACTCTCTTTCATCAAATTAATACTTATAATGGAGGGATCTCTCGATGCAGGCACGTGAACTATGCAATGAAAACTAATTGAAAAAAAAAAAGTTAGTGTTTTCCTGTATGAAACTCTGGTTTTGCAATGACCGATATTTCATGTTTCCACCATTATTATGACAAGGGGTCAACGTGGAGCAAAAAATTGGCGGAACAAATATTTCTGTTTAACAATGTAGTTTGAGCTCATTGTGAAACTTGAATCTCGAGACTCTAAAACAACATATTAGGAACACAGGCAATATATACTGTCTTCATTCTGATCGTAATACTTAGGTGGTATGGCTGTTCTATTTCCACCGTAAGGCTTGACAATTTGTTTGCAACCTTGACCTCGTATCAGCCCAGAGGGAAGCGCTTTGTTACAAGGTTCGTTGGACTTGCTGCTATCTTCTTCATTCCTAACAAAGCTTTAAATCTCAAGGCACTAAAACAACATTTTATGAACACATGCAATATATACTGTCTTCATTGTTATCTTAATACTTCGGTGGTATGGCTGTTCTATGTTCACCATAAGGCTTCACAATTTGTTTGCAACCTTGACCTCGTTTCAGCCGAGGAGGAAGCGCATTGTTACAAGGCTCGTATGACTTGTTGTTAACTTCTTCATTCCTTACAAAGCTTAATTATTTCGTCTTCCTTCTAATGTGTTGTGTTAGCTCCACTTTGACCCCCTTTCATCAATAATAGAGATCTCGATCACTAAACTTGTACTTACCTGAAAGAGGGTGAAAAGAGGATGGTATTAGAAGATAGAGGACAGAAATGGGGTTCAAATGAAATTTCAAATTTCCGTAATTGTTGATATCTGAGTTGTGCTGAGGAAAGCTGTATGAAAATGTTGGCACCATTTGTAATTGGTGCGTGTCTTTAAAAATAAGCCCTCTGGCTCTTCAAAGAGGTCTTGAGGAACAAACTGCGATGATGTGCGGCACATTTAACTTGTGTGAACAATGAGGAAATTAAAACAGCAGAAAATCTCAGGCTCTTAGGTGTTACAAAAGATATCAATTGTAACTTCAGTGATCACATAAGCTCAATTTGTAAGAAGGCGGATTAAAGGATCGGCGTTCTCATAAGACTCAGACACTTAATTCCAACTAAGGCTAAACTAGTACTATTTAAATTAGTACTCACACCGTACCTTACGTACATTTACTGCTATTTAGTTGGACAGGCAGTTGGACATTTTTGTTGATCTAGTGACGCGCGAGAACAAGAAAGACTTCAAGAAAGAGGACTGAGAGTGGTGAGCAGAGACAAGCATGTTATTCAAATTTACTTAAGAAGGTCGTGTTGCCAACGCTGATGAAAGCACTTGCCGGATTTTTGCATCCTCTGCTCTTCCCATCACAAGGAATCCGCCAGAAGTTCGAGTAGCAAGTGGACAAAAACCAAGATTATTTGCATTGTATTGCAAACTTTTCTGCGACTGTTTCAAATATCTTCTCAAAAGAAATTATTTTTAACAGCGCCAATGTCGAAAACAAAGTTTGAAGTTCCTATGAAACACTTGAAAGTACTGTTGAAAGGAAACTGATGATGAAATTTTACCTGTGTTTGCGCAATTTCTCTGAACTTCGAAATTTATTTCCTCGAGTTCCCATGGGAATTTGTTTTTGGTGTATTTTCAGGTAACTGTTTATATCTGAGGCTTTTTGAAAATGCAAAAAGGACTGAAATATACTGAACATTATTCTGCTACAAGGTTTTTGTCCACTTAAAACTGAAATTGCTCGATTTCCTATCGGATTTCCTCTTAAATATATTTGTTTTATTATATAAAAACCAAAGATATATCTGGCGAGCTACCAAAAGTAAATTAGCGCCCGGTCGCTAAATTGAATCATTACGGTATTAGCGCGCGGTAGATTTTCCATGTACTTCCACGTATCATCAATCGTTTCGTCAAATAACTTGATGTATCTATAGCAACGTTTTTTTAAAACTTGTTTTTAAAGGGTGTTTAAACAAAATTCGGTTGACTTTTTAAGCGTAATTTTCTGAGATTTTGTTTTATGTGGTTTCATGAAGTGTACGATAACACATATTACAATTGCAACCGTAATATGTGTTTTCGAATTAGTTTTGGGAATTTTCTGACATCCAAGTTTTCAGGTATGACGAATGTATGACGTTCGATTGGCGCAAAATAAAAATTTTTGAATGTTTCCCATCTAAGAAAGACATAATACCGTATAGGACATAACGTGCATTTCGCATGAGAGGTAAGCGATCGATCGCAAAGTTTTTGAGCGTTACACTTTAGCGTGTCATCGGGTTGCATTACAGTTCAGTGAACGTATCTACTTGTAGCTGGTGTTTGTTACCATAATAAACACCAGCTACAAGTAGATACGTTCACTGAACTGTAATTCAACCCGATGACACGCTAACAGACCAATAAACTTTGATTAGTTTCAGATTTATAAGCCAAACATTGGACACAAAAATAAAGCATCGTCTTACTTGACGTGTTTTTAAGACTATTTTATTAAACAAAAGAAAGAACATTAACCGATAGATTCAAAGTTTTATTTTTTTTACTATCTATTTGCAATTGCCTAAATTTTCCTACCCCTGTAGTTTACAGAATACTAATCTCCGTATGGAGCCTTGATCAGCTTTAAGCACAACAAGAGACCACTCGGCCCTAATGTATATTCGTCTCAAAGACCACAAATCAAAAGTTTAAAAGAGTTTCACCCTGAGACTGAGGAAGAAAGCTTTAAGCTAAAAACTTTGGCTCACTACCAGCTTCTATCGTTTCAGCTTGTGTTCGCTTTATATGGGAGCTCGGTCGTTCTAATTAAGATCTCTGTTTGGAATTTTCGAGTTGGTCGTTTTGCGGCGAATTAAGCTTCGTCTGTAATAGAAAAATAGGTAGGGCAGAAATAGAAGCTTAGAAAATCTGAGCCCAAAGATATCTTTATTCAACTTCGTTCTACCGCTTTACACGCAGGCCTATACCAAACGCCGTGCTACCGCCGTGCCGAACTCAAATAAATTTGGCCTGGCGAAGGCATGAAAAAAGAACAGCAGTGCGTTTCAATTCAGTCACACCGAAGATTGGAGGAAGTTTGCTTTACTGAAGACCACTTTAAAGCAACGACAGCTGATGCAGCAGGCTATGAATTCAGTTAGGCACAGCAAGAGCACGCCGTTTGAAGCCAAGTCACGCTCAGACTTGCGTGCGGCTCGGCAAGGCCTGCCATGCCGTGCTAAGTACCGTAAATCCTCGAATTAGCGCCCCCTCGAGTAGGCGCCCCCTTCGAATAAGCGCCCCTCCCATCGGCCGAAATTTAAAATAAGCGCCCCCCCCCC